TTTGACACCATAAACTTATCGGTTTAATCTGAGATATTTTTAATTATAATTTTGCATGGCTAATCTCTTTTTCTAATAACAGATTAGGGAGTTAAGCTCGAAAATTAGGATAATCTTTTAATATGTAAAGCTATTATTAAGCGATTCAGTTACATACATACAAATTTAGGTTAGGTTAGAAATTAAACATTAATTTCACTTAATTTTATTCATTTTTCTGATTTAATTTTTTATTCATTTTCATTTTTAATTATTTTAATACATGAAATTATCGGTATGATTGATAAAATATACTTGTATATACTTGTGACTCAAGGCAGTTAAAAATATCGTCAACTCGAATTCCTCTTACTATGCATATGCCTAAATGTATGCAACCATTTGGCAAGCAAACACAGGGTGCTTCTAATGAAAATAAAAATTGTATGCTGATATACACATGCTAAGCCCTTCGAAATATTGTGCTGGGATATGCGTTACAGCTTCGCAAATTTTACCCCTACTGAAACCAAAGATGTATACACATCAATAATCGGAAGTAGTAATCAATTTTAGCCATATATGTAATACTTCTATATTGGCAGTAAGCTAACTTCGCATCAAAGCGAGACAGTCTAGTACCGTTTTTGTCAATGTATTGTGTACTTGATTGCTGTTTTTGTATATGTGTTGTGTACATGTTTATTTATATATATATATATTATTGATATATCTGTACTATAGTGTTTTCGGTCGGTGCTAGCTCTTACTGCCAATATAGGAGTATTACATATATGATTTTAGCGCATTTCCTCTTGCTATGCATATGCCTAAATGTATGCAATTATTTGGCAAACAAACACCGGGTGCTTCTAATGAAAATAAAAATTTTATGCTGAAATACACATGCTAAGCCCTTCAAAATATTATGCTGGGAGATGCGTTACAGCTTCGCAAATTTTACCCCTACCGAAACCAAAGATGTATACACATCAATAAATATATTTGGTATAAAATTTTATGTTTTTATATGTTGAAAGTTTATTATTGAATAATCAAAAATTTTCTTTTTGATAACAAACAAATTCATTGAACCATAAATTGAACATCAAGAATTTAAACAAGTATAAAAACATACAAGTAAAATACCCCACAGAGACTTCATCATAATTGTTCTTTCCATTTTGTAATAAAAACCACACGCGCAATTTTCTGTTATTTTTTTGTTTTCTTATTTCTAAAATGTTCATCCCAAATGAAAACTTTTTATATTTCGGTTCAAATTTACTTTTAAATTTCTCATAAGATTTTTACAAAAAATTAGGCTTTGTGATTAGCGCATCACCATTAAATTTCACAAATTTTGAATTTATGCAAAACATAAACAACTACCAGATCGTCGTTTAAAGTACAAAACCTCGTATCAACAAAATGAAAAACCGCGTATGTGAGGTTGCATAAATTATTTTGTAGAGAGTAAAAACACTCATATTTCAAAATGGTTCTCTCTTTTTTACAAAGAAATCGCATTTCAGGACGAATGGATAAGGCTTGAGCCAAGAGCTTGTGTGAGCAAATCCAATTTTTGGCAACAAATGTCAGTTACGCGGTTTTGCAGAACGAAGATACGCGGTTTTGTACTTTAAGCGACGATATGTAAGTATACACTTTCTTCATACTTTCTGAAACCTAGTCGTCAACCCCATTTTCGAAATCATGTAGCCGGCATAATTTTCTTGTTCATCATATTCCACATCTTTGAATGTACTGATAAAATCTTCTGCTTAAAAAAAAATATTTCTTCTAGTGATCAGGTAGCATGAATTTGATGAAATGTCATAATTTTATTAAAAGTCAAATGGTTAAGAACAACAACGAATGTCATTAAATGAAACTACCTTCTTTTTTGTATCATGGGAAAAACTATTTTTTGTTCAGAACTTCTTGTTTACGAAACGTTGGCATAAGTTGAAATCATAAGGATGCCGTTTTCTTCCGTTTCTCAATGGATTTTATGTATGCACTACTTCTACATATCGTCGTTTAAAGTGCAAAACCTCGTATGTGAGGTTGCCTAAATTTTATAGGAGAGAGTAAAGCTTGTCCTAATTAAAAAGGGCTCTCTCTTTTAAACTTAATTATCTCTTCTCCTTATGTCTAAGTATCGATATTTTATTATAAATGGCTAAAAGCTTGATGCCAGGAGCTTCCGGTGACAAAATATCTTTTTTGGCACAAATTTCAGTTTCGAGGTTTTGCAGAACCACGATACGCGCTTTTGTACTTTAAACGACGATATACATATTGGCGCTTACACAGTATGTTAGTGTTTGGCCTAGCTTCTCTTCCGATATGTGACGTGTGTGATTTTGTCACACAAAGTAAAGGACAGGGACAATTTAGAGTTTTTCCGAGCATACTTTTCAACCTAAATTGAACTGTGAAATATAAATGGGCGCGCGATTAAGCGAACAATTATTTTTTTAGAAGTTTTAAGTAATTTTTCTATATTCTATGGCACTAAAAAGAAAATATTCAGAAAAATGTCAGTATAAATATTTTTGATTTTGGTAAAAGTAAAGAATAGGGAGCGATGAGCTAGAAAAAAAGAAAAATTGGGCGTGGATCGACCTTTATTCTTGATTTTGATGGTATGAATTTTGTTTGCTGCATATTAAGAGGGCCGGTGCAAGGGGGTGGTAAAAGAGGAATTTTCAATATTTTCAAAAGCTTATTTTTCGAAAATTATTGAACCGATTTTTCGCACACAGCCTTAAGACAGATTTCGCTTCTATTATTTTAATGTGTTAATGTTTGCAGTCATTTACGAACGATACAAGATCGATAGAGAAATACATAAAAATCTCTTGCTTTTTGATTGGATTACTCAGAAAGGTTTTAAGTATGCAGTTTTGTAGCCCAATTTAATTTGATTTCAATTTTAATACATTAAAGTGCAACTTTGATGTAGCTAGGACTTACCGTTGATATTTGTATTTTTTTTTTTTTTTTGTCGAAGTTGTTGGTCATTTTCTCCATATAAAAAAATCGTGTTAACATGCATACTTCGTATGGAAGAAATGACTGACACCGTCATTAAAAAAAGTCTCAAAATATCAACTGCTGCTACTTCATACATGCACTTCAATGTGTTAAAATTACATGGGCTACAAAGCTGCATATTCAACGAAATCTAATGAAAAAGCTAGAAATTTGTATGAAGGTTTGTAGAATATTTTTTTTTTTTAATATTGCACAAAGTTTAAATCTTAGATTTATACGTGGTTTGTTAAAGAATAAATTATAAGGTATAATAAAAAATTAATAGTCAAAGCTTTTCAATATATGGTTGGCGTATAATTGTGATGCACACCTCATTTAAAATATTTGTTTTTGAAAAGCATTCTTTTGTTAGTTTTATATTTTCTTTCCTTAAATATTTGTTCTGGATTATTATACCCGTTTAACAAATAAACTTTACTGATTTCTTTAACATTGACTAGTTTTCATAACTTTATTCATTACCTTAATTCAGCAAACTAAAATAAATAGTACATGTGTGCATAAGCACATAATTAGCAGAACCCAAATACCAAAAATCAACAGCTCTATGAAAATACTTAAGCACTTTCACAGTACACTGCTTGCGCACGATTAAGGGATATAGAGATTGTGCCAATCGCGGTACCGCTAATCCGCTCTTTGTGATTTTGACAGAATCAGCTGTGTGCGTGACGTCATCTTGGTTAGTTATTGCTACGTGTTCCTAATTAATCAATCTTTGTATATTTATTGATTCCTGCAAAATTGGGCCATGTAATATTAAAATTAACACATTTTTCTGCATTGTTTATATATTTTTATATGCGTTTTGGCATTTCTCTGTCGCAATTGCACCAAGATGACGTCACGCAAAAATCACGCTCAAAAATCCTCTCTCATTGGCGCAATCTTGTATTCTATCAATCTTGCTGCTTGCGGATATTTTCAGTCGATGTAATTGTCGCTTGCAAAGCAAATACTACTCTTCTTGCTATTGATCGGTTTTTTACTCTCGCATACTCCAGGTGGTTTGTGTTTACTTGCACTCTCCAAGAGAATGGAGAGATAAAGAGAGTAAGTAATTGCGCTGCTAACAAATGTCTTGTTGGGCAACTCAAATGTACCCGTGCAGTTTTTTAATACATGTTTTAAAAGGTAAAACCGTTCGCTCAATTCGCCGGCCGTCATCTATTTTCTGAAGTTTGTCTACTTTATAAAATTTAAATTTTCAGAGCAACTCAAATTCCAAATAAAAGTAAAACAAAAAAAAACAAAACAATCTCATATAAAAGTTTAAGAGTACCGTTAATTTCTTCATGATCCAATGATCGGACCTAAACCAAATTAGTTGGGACAACCTCTGAGGTACCACCTTTCATTTATAGAAATCGACTAACGTGGTCCAAAGTTAAGCAAACATAAATAAAAAAAGGAAATATTCGGACGAATTGATAACGTCCCCCTTGTAATAATAAATAATAATAGATATAATATTAAATTTTTCCTTTATTTGAGACTGAAAGTGAGAATGTTTTGTGCGAGATTGAAAATCTTCAGGCCGCCTCTCAGCGGTTGTACCTTTAAATTTTTGTATCAAGGACGTTTATAGGCGGATTTTTAGTAGATATTTTATTTTTAAACATTTATTAATTATTTTTTGAACGCACTAAATAATGTGTTGGTAATATGGTTTAGTATACCATATGTCACGAACCATATGTACCATATTACCCGCAAGTTTTTCAAGGTGCCACTTTTTGACTTTTTTCAAGTTTTTCATAAAATCCTTTTTACGTTGCATTATTAGGAATTCTTTGTTGTACAGTCTTTTAGCCAATACCACAGTGGTGATAAATTTGCAAATTGGAAAAAGGATGCATAGTTTCTTAGTTATGATCCAAAAAGGAATAGATATTCCATATTACCCGAACTTACTCTATGTAATGCATTGCTTACTTTTCGTTTGGTTTCAATTTCAGGGGATCGCCATTAAAGACAATGACAGCTTAGCCGCTATGCTTTCAGCCGAAGTTCAAGCAGACTTGTTGATTTTGATGTCTGACGTGGATGGAATTTACAACAAACCACCATGGGAAGATGGAGCAAAACTTATGCATACTTATACTTCAAATGATCGCCATGTCATCGAATTCGGCAAGAAATCCAAGGTATACATATGTGTAGTCTTTTAAACATCAATACTAATTATATAAAGAGAAGTCCCTTTTTTTGTAACAGGTAATCTCGCGAACGGCAGGTCCGATTTTCATGAAATTTTGCATACAAATAGCTTTCGGTAACCACCATGTTTTAGGCTAAAAAAAATTTACTCTTTTCGGGTAGGTGGACCAGGGACCGGTCTATTCGAAAAAATCTTATTATAGTCCGATTTTCTTAAAATTTAGTACGTAAGTAGCTTTTTAGCATATATTAGCATATATGACCCCTTTTTTCCAGGAAGTGGTCCAGGGATCGATCTATTCGAAAAAATCGAATTTACGATCCGATTTGCTTAAAATACGGCGCGCAGGTAGCTTTTTAGCATGTATTAGCATATGTGATAAATTTTTTCCGAGAAGTGGACCAGGGACCGATCTATTCCAAAAAATCGTACTTATGGTCCGATTTGCTTAAAATTCGGTACGTAAGTAGTTTTTTAGCATATATTAGGATATATGGTAAATTTTTTCCGAGAAGTGGACCAGGGACTGATCTATTCGAAAAAATCGTATTTACGGTCCGATTTGCTTAAAATTCGGTACGTAGGTAGCTTTTT